GAGCCCCCCAGGTCCCCGCACCTTGGCGTCCAGCGAGGCGATCTCCTGCTGGTTGGTGGTGGAAGCCAGGAAGTTGCTCATCTGAGCTTTCAGGGGATCGTCCACCTCCACGTCGATGTCATAACACGCCGTCTTCTTCTGGTCATTGGGGTCCACGCTGGGGGGAAAGGGGGGGTTAGGGGGGTGCATCCTCAACCTCCACCCTGCTGTAGGGGGGGATCGACAACAGTGAGCACCCCACTGACTGCCCCAAGAAGCCCCCAAATTTGTTTTTGCCCCTCCCACGTGACTTGTGCTTGCTGCTGGTTTGGGCTGGAGACCTTGTAGCCCCCACAAGTCCTCCCACAGCCCGCTCCACCCCTCCACCCCACCGAGGAGCCCCCCAGCCCCGGGGGACGCTGCCCAGCACGCCCTCCAGCCCTACCTGATGGTGTGGTTGATGATGATGGGATCCGGGTGCTGCAGGAGCCCCGCCAGCTTCATGGGGATCTCGGAGAAGCGCATGCGGACGCAGTTAAAGATCTGAGGGGGCAAAGCAGAGAGTTTGCTGTCTGGGGCAGGGGCTCCTTCCACCCACCACGGAAAGGGCCAGGCAGGGGGAGGGAAAAAAAAACCAACCCTGGTTTGTGCAGGGCAAGCTCAGGGATGCAAGCTAGAGCCTGGGGAAGGAGCAGAAATTCAGAATGGACAGTCCGGTTTGCCCACTTTGAGACGGAAAACATGCTTTTTCTGGCATTACTGGGGGTAGGAAGGGTGGTCTCCTGCCAGCAAACCGCGCTGGTGCGTCGCGGTGAGGGCTGACCTGGCGGAAGTAGCGGTTGCAGTTGATGTACTCCTTCTCGTGACTGTCCTGCAGCTTGTTGTGCTTGATGTAGAGCCAGAGCGCCTGCATGATGCTGGCGCGGGTCTGGGTGTGCACCCCCAGCAGGCGAGCCAGGCGAGGGTCCAGTTTGTACTGTGGTGGCTGGAAGGGACACGCAGCATGAAGGGGGGCTGGCATTTGGAAGGGCCCCTCCTGCAGGCATGCTGTCCCACACTGCCCATGTGTCACACCCTTGTGTCACCGCAGGCTGCGAGAGCTGTGCCCGGAGCAATCTGTGCTCTTTTTCCATCCCCACAGCCCACCAATGGCCTCAAATTAAGGCTCTGCCCCAGCCCAGGCTGGTTTTACTCCCCCCAGACCTCCCCGGCACAGACAAGCCGTGCTGGAGGCACCCACCCAGCCCTGTGGTCCTACCTGGTGATCCAGCATGAGCAGCAGGGTGCATTTCACATTGACGTCGCCGGGACGCTTGACTTGGAAGCCATCGGTCTCCTGGGTTGTGGGCAGCCGGTGCCACTACGAGAGACCAAGGGGACAGCATTCAACTCCAGGAGCATGACAAGCCACCCGCTAACAGGCTATGTGTCTGCAGGCAGGAGCAGAGAGCAGCGGTGCTCGGGCTCTGCGCAGGGGGCTAGCAGAGGGAAACAGCCTGGATCCCACCCCGGGGAGTCTGACCCCCCGTGGGCTTCAGCCAAGAGCCGACGCGGGCCAATGGATACAGCTGGATGTGCTCCAGCCCAGAGGCGGATCGGAGTTTGGACAGGCTGGAGGAGTTACAGCCTCCAGAACTTGATGTCAAGGGCTCAAACAGCTCCTGGAGTCACTGTGGGATCAATCCTGCCTCAGCCACTGCAGGGGACGTGCGTCAGACGTCCCCCAAACCACTCCACACATGAAGGGGATTCACCCCCACCACAGAAATAAGCATTTCCCGGGGGAAAACACATGAGCTGGGTGCACGGAAAGCTGCTCCAGGCTGGAGCACCCAAAAAAAGGCCTGATCCCACTGAGAGGCAACAGGGCAGACCTTTCTTTGCACCCAATGGCTGGAACGTACAGATGAGCCTTTCTGCAGCACCATCACCCGTGCTGGGCCTCGCTTTTGTACATGTGTGGGGCCCACGGCAGCCCAAGCCACCTCTCAGAGCCACGACGGCACCGTGGTCCCTGGGGAGGGCTCAGCACCACTCCCCGGCATCCAAAAGCTCTCGCTCAAACCCCTCGTGCAGTGGGACAGGCGCTGGGCTGGGAAGCTGAGCACCCACAGGGTACACAGCAGGACCACCTCCCATCGCCCGCGGGGGATAACGGCTCTCCCCACCCGGCCTGGGGTGCGGAACCGGCCCCGCAGCGCGGCCGGGAGCCTCCTGTCTCACCTCCACCAGATGGTTGTCTGGCCCGTACAGGTCTTTGTCCAGCTCGATGACGAGGCTCTTGAAAAAGGAGGAGAACTTCCTCTTCTGCTTGCTCGGCTGCAAACCAAGAGAGGGAGAGGCTCAGCCTGACACCACCAGGGCGGAATCCACCCCAGCCAGGCTCCCAGCGCAGAGCACCAGTGCTCCTCCCACAACCAGTTCATCCCTGCCCGCATCCTTACGTCCTCCAGCAGTTTGCCCTCCACGCGAAGCTCCCAGGAGGCCACGCGCTCACCACCCTCCCCTTCTTCTTTGGCTGGGGTGAAAGTGTTGGAGATGTAAATCCTCAGCTTCCGTTTTTGCTGTGGAATAGGAAAAACAGAGAGGGAGGGGATCCACCTTGTAGCCCCCCACCGCATCCGGCTGCTCGCCCTCCCAGCCAACCGGGGCTGCCACGCACCGTCAGCGGTTTCTTTATGGCCTCCTGAATTTCCATCCTCTTCCGAGCGATGGTTTGGTCCAGCTTGCGCTCAAAGGCCAGGAGGTCCATGTAGGCCTGGGATTCTGGGACCAGCTCCCGGATCTGTCAAACAGAAACGATCGGTCCCTTGTGTGCTGGGATGGGGCTGCACCCCTCTGTCAGCCCCAGCAATGCCACCAGTGCTGGGCTGACACACCAAGGAGTCACCAAGTGACGAGTCCAGCACGGCAGCGCCAATTTGTCATTTTAAACGAAGACTACAGCCCTGCAAAGTCCTCCCCAAACCCCAGAGCTGTACTGCAGACCTCATTTTGGAGCCTGTCACTGCACCCAGCAGCCTGCCCAGTGTCCCAGGCAGGTAACATGACCCTGGATTGTGAGGAGGGACCCCCAGGAGAGGCTTGGGGTCCTCCTGGGGTCTCCACTCCTTTGCTGCTCCTTCCTTGCTCAAAGTCCTGCTTGTGCAACTTATGGACACCCCAAACCTCTCCTGCCACCCCAAACGAAGGGGGAAACCTTCCAGGTCGGTTTGGGACCAAGGAGAAATGCCCAGCGGGCAGGAGGTGGCTCGGTGAGATCCTCCTCCTCGTGGGGACCCCATCACTGCAGCTTCCCCGGGAAGGCAGCAGGGACACACCGCCTCCCTCCAGCAGCTCAGCCCCATCCCCACGCACGAGGCGGCACTCACCCTCTGCGGCAGGACCTTGTCGGCCATCTTCCTCCTCTTCACCCTGCGAAAAACACAAAGGCAAAAAAAAAAATAATATTACACTGCAGCTCTGGTGGGACATCTTGCTGCCTGCCCCGGGAGGGCTGCTCCATGCTTGGGCAGCAGCGGGTCCTGGGTGACACTGCCGAGCCCTGCTCATAGCCCAGGAGCCCAGTGGCTCTTTCGGCCCCATCCTGGCCACGAATGTGTCAGGCTCCAGAGAGGGGAGTCACAGCGGCAGTGCCATCCGTGTGCAATGTGGGTGGCTCAGTCTGAGGCAGGTGTTGAGGCTCCTGCTACAGCAAACTGGTCTGGGGGAGCGGGTCCCCTTTTGAGGGGGCTCTGTGTGACAGGGACTGGCAGGAGGGGAACAAAGGCTGTAAGAGCACCTAGAGCACTTGGATTGTGGCTGGAAAGAAAATGAGAAAGAGATGATATCCCTGGGGGCAAGCCAAGATGACTCCAGGGGGGAAGGTGCTGGATGGCTGGAGCCTGTCACCAGGAAATCCCATCCCTGGGTTCAGTTTGCTTCATCGCTGCTGCTTGCTGAGGGTCCTGCAGGGCAGGGGCAAGGAGGAGGTGGCACAAGGCACAGCTGTGGCTGCAGGCACGCTCCTGTCTGTGGGACAGCGTTCCCAAATTTCCTCTCTGGAAAAGGCTGTCACACTCTCCTAGCGCCAAAGCCCAGTTGCAGGAGTTCACTTAAAAACAGGTTAAAACAAACCAACCTTGCCTTGGTAGGGCCAAAATCATCGTGGGTAGAGGAAGCCACTACCCTCTAGTAGCCACTGCTCAACCATTTTAGCTCTCTCCAAGCTTGTAGCAACCTGTCAGACCACAGAGCCCTGGGCTCTGCTCCCCTCCCACTGCTCCCGATCAGCCCGAGCCCACCCCAACACCCTGTTACATTCACACTCAACGCCTGGATACCCAGGATGCTCTGGATACTCCTCCCGCTCCGCTGCACACCTAAGGGGCAGAGTCCAGCAGGCAAAGGGAGGTCCGGCAGCAAACGGGGGCATTCACGCTGCCATCACGAGGTGTCCAAGGTACACTGGCTGCTGGCGCAGGAGGACACACCGGGAGGGCAACCCTAGCTCAGAGGAGGGTCAGAGCACTTCTTTCTGCTGCATTAAATCCTTCCTGCCCTGCAGCATTTGTCACCCCGTTAGCAGCTGGCAGCTCCTGATCCCTTGATCCGCAGCCGGCTGGGAGCAAGGATGCT